GGGTTTGAGTCAAGTTTTTGGAGGCATATGTGCAGAGGTTTCTGAGTTCCCAGCTTTCACTTTTGTGCATGAGGCTTCTAGATTAGGATCTGATATCTTTGATGGACTCAGTTTCTTTTGAATTTTGGTCAGCTGTTTCTTATTGGTTGTAGTGTAAGGTTCTTGATTTGATTTGGCTTGCGGGCACCCCGTCCCTCTTTTCCTTGGAGGCCTAACATAGTTTTTCCATGCCTGAATGCTTGAGCGGAATGAGGTGATTTCAGTCTGTCAGTCAGTGCTGATCCTTGCCTTAGATTCAACTTAGTTCTTGCATTAGATTTGGCTTGGTTCTTTTCCCTTTTGTCCTCCTCCCCCTTTTTACCTGTCTTTTCTTCAGTTTTCAACTGCACAAGTGGCTCTTTGGCTACTCAGTTATCTGTTTTTGCAATGGGGTTCTGCCCTCATTGCTTGAGGGAAGTTGTTTCAGGGCAGTTCTTGGCTGTTCTTGGTCGGCTTGGGTTTTTTGCGCTGTCCCCCATTGATGGCCAACTCTTGGTCCCATGATATATATGGGCCTTCCAGGTAGTGTCCCAAGGCATACATTGGAGGTGGTCCTAGACCCCTCCTTTAGTGCTGAGTCCTGGAGCCAGCAGTATATGTCACAACTTTTCTAGGTCTTTGTGGCATCTTTAGATACTTGAATGGCCAAGTTAACCTCTGCTTTGTGGTGGGTGTTCTGGTTGTTCCCGGACCCCCAGACAGGACTTGCTGGGACTCTTTTTTGCATTCTTAAATTTTAAATTTACTTCATTCCCTATCCAACTTTATACATGACCACCTTAACTCAGATCCTCCTGTGTTGCAAGCAGATTCCTGGATGGTGTCCCTCGACCTACAGGATGCCTATTAGCATGCTCCTTTCATCCATAGTTCAGGGACTGTTTTCATTTTGTGGTGGGGCATTAGGCTTACGGTGTCTGGGTTCTTTCATTCAGCTTGAATCTGGCTCCCTGGGCATTCACCAAGGTTTACATGTGTAGTATATTGTGGCCTTTGGGTTAGTGGTTCATGCCTTAACCTACCTTGATGATGACTGACTGGCTTAGGCTCACAGCAAGTCCGTGTGTCTGCAAGCCTGGGATCTGGGTCTTTCCCAGCTTGCCAGGTTCAGGTTTCTTATGAATTGGTGAAAGTTCCATTTGGTTTTATCACAAGTTCATATTTGGTTGGGTCTAGTTTGAGATTCTCGTTCTGCTTCCCTTCTCCCTTCAGCTTTTATTGTTGCTCTGCTGGGATGCTTGCCTATAGCTGGAGACAAGTGTCCTTGGGAGGTTGATGGATTGAAGACAAAGGTGCACAATCCTCTGGTTGTGTGCAGGTGGAAGTAATAAGAGAACTGCTTAACCACCAGGTAGTTCGTGAATCTAGTGGCTTCACTGTCTTGATTTCTATGCTTTGTTTACCTTGGTGGTTGTATGTTTTGAATTTCCCACTTTTCTAGTGGCCTTTTCTTGGTTAGGATGAACTGTGATCCCACTGCTCCTTGTGCTTCTGTTGAGGGGGCCAGGTTTGGTCTATGATCCCCCAGTAAGTTTTCACTGACTCACAAGGGCCTGGCATGGACCGAACTGGGTGGGGCTCGTCATGTAGCTAACACCAAGTAGGCACCAAGGGCCTACCAGAAAGAGGCATTTTATTGAAATTAAATTGAAATGGTTTATTCATAAATGTTTATACTTTTATAGTTGGGTTAGTTTACATAAATTTACAGTAAATTATTTGCCTAAGAATCATAATAACATAACATGTAATATCTGTAATTATGAACTGTATACTAAAGATTTAAATTTGGAAGCTACATTTATGAATGATTTTAAGATCATTAGTTGTCAAATTCAGAATCGGAAACTATTTTGGTAACAACTTGTACAAATCGTTACAATAATGACTGAACAAAACGAGCGTACATCAGTCTAAATAAAATTTTGCATGCTTGCCATCAAGTGAGTAACATTCAGCTTAAAATTTGAAATGTGATATATATATATTGGAAAAAGTAAGGTGTGTACATTTAGGGCAATTTTTTTTATTTTTTTATTTTTTTTATTTTTTTTTGTTCTCTGTTCATTTTTCTCCAATAACCGCTCTTTGTGTAATGTTCTCTGACATCGCCACTTCACCTCGGCTTCAAATTCAATCTCTCGCACCAATTTCTTCTGAAGCTTAGTATACAAGGCCTTCCAATCTCAATTTTTCACATATGCTGTTGGTTACTATGGGATATCTTGATAATATGGTATATTGAATTTCTTGTGCTTTGGTAGATTTTGGGTTGCTCTGTTTTTTCACATCTTTTGATACGTCATTCCTGATGCAGTGTCTCAGCTAGACACAACCTTGTTCAGCCAGATCCTACTCCTTTTTTACTGCTGCACTGGATTTCAAGAACAATCTATCCAGAGATCAATAATATCGGTGTTTGTTCAAGCAGAGTTTCACTGTATCCGCTGGTGCCATTCCCTTTAGAAGTTTGCGAATTTAACGAATTAAAACTTTTGGGAATTCATTTCACACTGGCTGTTCCTTACTATGTTGTCAGGGTCCACTGCTGTGCCATCAGTGTGTCCAGATGACACAGCACATGACAGTGTGTTCAGATAAGCCATCCAGATGGCTCACACTGCTGTGCCATCAGTGTGAGCCATCTGGATGGCTTTCCTCTTGATGGGGCCAGGGTGCCCTACATCAAATTATTTTAGCTCTCTTCCTACTGTCTGTTTTGCAATTTCTGTAACTCACTCTGCAGGTCAGGTTAGTATTTCCCAGTGTTTTTTATTTGTTTCTCACCTCCATTACTCTTTGCTTAGGGAGCCTCCAGGTGAAAGTTCCAAGAAACCAGGTTTTAAGTGAATATGAAAAGCTTCTTTTTAAGTAAGACACTTGTTTGATTCCATCCCCTCCATTAAGTCCTTGAATCTGCTGTGCTCAGATACTTTTCTTTGCATTAGTTCGAATGTGATTGGTTCAAGACAGGAGGGACCTGGGTGCTGATTTGGGTGTTGCCATCTCGTGGCAGCCAAATGAGCAAACTGACTGCCAGAACACTAATTGATGTTCCTTATACTGTCTAGTAGGGTTTGGAAAGGCTTTGAGTGCATTTAAGTGGGCTTTCTGTATCACTCTGGGTTAGACTGAACTTTTCTCTAGTGCCGTTCGGGCATCAGTATGACCTAACAAGGATATTTGAAAAGATTTTGCCTTGACCGTTATGATCCACTCCTATGGCACCTTTAGGAGCATCAGAGTGTACAGATGAAAAGCTTTTCATATCCACTCGAGGCCTGATTTTTGGTACATGGCAAAATTTTGACCACTTCATTGATTGAAGATGCTTCCCACAAAATCTTTCACAGGACTGGGAATACGGTATGTAGAGATCTAGATGGAACTATCTTTTGCTGAGCTTAAAAATTTCCTCAAAATTGCCATTGATAATATACATTACTGTACTAAATACCCAAAGAAGTGTAAATCTTTAATGGCATACTAGATTGATGCAACTTTAAGGTCACCTTCAGATCATCTACACCCTCACTGTACAATAACGAGTCGATGGTTGTGTGCCACAACAAGTAAAGTTGGGTCTCAGGTCAGCTAAGCCGGGAAGGTGAGCGTCGTGTGAGTACACACGCACATGGGCACAAAGTGTACGCCCGCCGCCAGAGTTACCCCCAGCGTCGTGCCTCCGCCTTAGTTCTGCAGCCCCCCCACTGCAGTGACCCCCAGCAGAGGTCCTCCCTCCAACCCCTGAGGGTGATTCCTGAGCACCCTGGGTCACCCCGAAGCATTCCTGGCCGAGGGGTCAGATCTACACCCTCCCTCCAGCAGAACCCTCGCGGTACACATGCCCTCCCGCCCGCATGCGTCTGCTGCTGCTGCTGCTGATGCTGCATTATGCCATGCTCTACCCAAATATATTTTGACACCTGAAGGCTGTTTTTGGTCTTCTTAGATTTTCACATTTTCGATAATTTGCGGATTTTCGATCTCCTTCACGTTTTCACTGTTAGTCCCCCCCTCGACATGTGGTCTAACGTGTCCTTTTGACTGCTAGATTTTCCATAATAATTAGTAAACCTACTGTTTTTTCGGTAATGCTAGATAGAGTAAAAGTTGAATGCATTAATATATTAATCCACTAGATTGTCTAGTTATCAATAGGTAGTTTGTCCTGTTGAAACATTATAGTTTAGGGTTTCAATGAGCTAACTAAAGGAGATTTAGGTTTAGCAGCAATTCCTAGTTTAAAATCACCTGTATCATTGCTGTAGAACCATATTTAGAGCTAATTATAGAGTATGATAAGAGACTCATTTGTAGCTCCCTTGTGTAAATAATACTGTTGCTTGAAGCACAAAGTTTAACTCATGTAGTTATACTTTTTAGAGTATATGAGGGCACGTTAGCAATTGTTAAATAGCTTACTTTTCACCCTAAGTAATAGTAACTTTCTCGATATACACACATTTAATATCCTGTGAGTGCCTTTTCCCCTCAGTTAATGGAAGCATTTACTTTTATTTTGTATCTTCTGTTCCAAGTACACACTATAATGCTCATAATAAACCTGACTAAGATTTTAAATAAACTAAAGCTTACTTAAACAAAGACTCATTTTGAAAGTATGAAAGTGTTATTAAGATAATCCTGGAATTGTTAAGTTTGGGTTTGTGTGCTTCACTTATTATTTCCTATCCAACATTTGTATGCATAATTTATTTTTATATTCAGTATACTGTACTAATATCATAAATTTTGAAGTTTAGTCGATCAGTAAAGAAACATCTCTGATACGCTTCAAATTTTGTTGTCACTTATTTAGCTTGATATTATATCTTTCATTATGATGTCTGATCTCATTGTTAATTGCATAAAGTAAAAGGGGTAGGTTTTTGACACACATTCCATAGAACTTTGTATTATAAAATTTAGGAAGAATACAGTGAATGTCTCTCCACCAGAAACATATGCTGCCTTTGCCTTGGCTGCCAATGCGTCGACGAGCAGCAGTCCGGCAAGGGGTAGAAACCACTCTCTTCGTTCCTCAACCAAATCTGCTTCCTCATCCAGGAGACCCTCGTATAGTTCCCTCCAAGGCATACGCCCAGGTCAGTCACCCGTATAGCAATTTCAGATTTCTTAATCACTGAAATACTGCATGACACAGGGAAGTTCAACTATAATAAGGAAAATTATTTCTATGCCAGTCAATAATATTGAGGTTCATGCATGTATCTTAAAAATAATGCAGATGATACAGTTCCCTTTGCAAAGAATGATAGAAATATATGTAGAGTAGTTGACAATTTTATTGGTGTGCAGTAGAGAAGACTTGAAAGTTAATGTGGCCAAGAGTAAAGTTATGGTCATACATAGGAAGGAAAGTGAGTGAGTAAATGTGTGTGTGTGAGAGATGCAGATAGGAATTTATATGTGAATGGTGAGATACTAGCAATGTTTATAGTCAGCTTTAATATCTGGGATCATTTAGGGAGGATTTTGTGAAATCAAAGTGGAGAGTAGGACAGGTCAGAGAAGGAAAACATCTGGTGTAATGATAGCCTTGGCTAAAAAAAAAAAGATAGAATAATATTCAGAGAAAGCGCTCTATTAATGAGTTGTTATGCCAATCCAAATATACAAGAGTAAGATGGTTTGGTATTAAAAAAAAAATAAAAAAAGTTAAAACAGATGGAAATGAATAATTTGAAAAGCATGTGCACGTCAGGAGAATAGAATAGAATAAGGAATGAAAATGTAATGAAGAGATATGGCATGTAAAAGTTGATAAGCTGCAAGAGTGAGTAAAGCATACTGAGATGGTGTGGGCATGTTTGACAAATGAGTGATGGTAGACTTGGGGAAGAGAGTCTACCTCATTGCTTTGAGGATAGGAGGAGGTGAGGAAGGCCAGTAAGACGTACGTACGATGTCCATACAAGGTGAGCATGTACTCAAGTTTGCATGAAAAAGGAACACAATGCAAAAGATATAGTACAAGAGAAGACTGGGTGGAAGGAGTGTGTGAAAGTACTGTACCATTAGTGAGTAAATATACTTGTTTGTAATGCACAGATTTATGGCAATATATGAGGAGTTCTGTACACCTTGTCTTAAGAAGGTGTAGGTGTTGTCTTAAGAAATAGTGATGTGCTGCAGGGTATAGCTGCTGGTGTGTCATGATGCTTGTTTATCCCTGATGTAATGTGAATGATGTACTAAATGCACAAGTGGTAGTTTGTTAATATGTAACTGTAACATTCTTTCACTATATTGTTCCCTTTTTACTCCTTTTTGATGCCTCCCAACCCCCCCATGAAAGTGGGAAATGGGATAATGATAATGTATGTATGTATTTAAGAATTTGAGGTTTTGTGTAATACTGTACAGTGTCCAAAAAATTAAACAGATCCTTGCAAAATGTACTTGTAAAAAAACAGCATTGAATGTAATGAAATGCTGGTTACCTTTCCAGTGGCTCCCTGAAGCTATACACTGAGGTGACTCCCATCTACTAGGTTGCATCAGCTGTGGAGTTCTATAGGCCTACCAGGTACCAGCACCAAAACCTGGTCCCCCCCCCCCCTACCTCACAGAAGCGCAGGGAGTGGTGACATTTTGCCATTTTACCGGGAAAGGCAAGGACCACCTCACCGTAGGCAAGGACCACCACAAGTGAGGAGGACCTCTAAGGAAACAACTCCCAAACACTGCAGAGAAGATAACTTTGCCAATGCAAGGGCAATTCTAGGGAGCACACTGGGAAGGTAACCCTAAATACATGCAACTCCAAACACACTCAAAGCCATGCTCATGCTATCCGCAGTGTACAGAACAAGCCACCAAGGGCAAACACCATATCACTTAGATGGAGAGGAACCCACCCAGAGGAGAGGCGACTTGGGGACCACTACGTCAGCGACAGAACTGATTGCTCAGATCCTGGCAGGTGGTGAGCCACTTCCCCCCCCCCCCTCCCCCGAAACGAGTGGTTGGGGAAAGTATGGCACTTAAATAGCTCGCACCAGTTTCGAGAGAATCAACTCATTTGTTTACATTGTTGGGGAATTCATTGGACGGGTTTTGAGGCTTCAAAACACTGACTTTCTGGTTGCATTTCCCGGTGAGGTGGCAAAATGTCACCGCTCCCTGCATTTCTGTGGGCCAGGTTCTGGTGCTGGTCCCACAAAGGGTCTTTAGAACTCCATGGCTGATGCAACCTGGTAGATGGGAACCATCTCAGTGTATAGTTTCAGAGGCACAAGGAGCTTCCCCTTTCCCCCAGATTTTTTTTTTTTTTACATTTTTAAATCAAAATTTTTAACATCAACCTTAATATTACATTTAATATTTACTAATGCAAAATAATACTGCTTTTCATGAAAAAATATTTGTGAAAATTTTTCAAATACTGTACAGTACACATATGCAATGATGTTTGGGAAGCTTTTAGCATAGGCTGGTCTTTTTAATAAAAAGCTGTAAATAATGGTAAATTTAGTGCCAAAAAAGGGTGCTCATTCTTATTGTACATATTTGCACTTAGTTAAAGTTTACTATATACCCCTGTACCTTTTACCAGAATGCCTATCTATCTGTATCATCACCGACACCTTGTTTGTTGGATCATGTGGCATATGGAGAAATTTTCCCAAGCATTTTGTTTGCTGAAGTGCGTGCCAAAAGATGCAAAAGCAAATTTTTATTCTTTGCTTAATATTTAAGCAGGGTTTCTTAGTTATCACATACATGCAGTTCCTAACAGGTATTTGGGTAGCGTCATATGTTCATCTGTGTGTGGGGAAAAAGGAGGTTATGGTATTTAACAAAATAGGGTGTTGAGCATAGTGAAAGACAACTTTCTGAGCGGTCCTTTAAATGCTTCCTGAGCAGTCCTTCGAATGCTTCCTGAGCGGTCCTTTGAATGCTTCCTGAGCGGTCCTTTGAATGCTTCCTGAGCGGTCCTTTGAATGCTTCCTGAGCGGTCCTTTGAATGCTTCCTGAGCAGTCCTTCGAATGCTTCCTGAGCAGTCTTCGAATGCTTCCTGAGCCAGAAAGCATTGGGAGCTCTGGGACATGTCACTGTGTTAGGCTCTTGTGACCTCCTCCTCCTCCTCCTCCTAGCCTGATACACATCTTTCCAAATGGTCTTGTTACCTCTTCAGGAAACAAACCAGAGGCTGGCCAAAGTTTTTTCCAATCATTTTTCAGTGTTGTTAGTTCTACAGTTGATCTGTTTTCTGCGAGGCCAAAAATTTTAAAGTGATCCCTCACCTCAGGCAAGTAACTCTCATAAATTTATAAATCGATAACCAGCTCAGCTAATTAAAAGTCCTACATCATGGTATGCATGAAAAAAAGTATTTGTAATCCTAAAATAAATTGAATTTGGCATTTCGAGCCAAGAAGATAATAGCAGACAGTAATTTGAGCCGTTATTCCTGGGCTAATGTGGTTATCATCATTTGCTAATTGTAGTTATTATGGTCTGATTTTAGTGCAAATGCTATAAAAAAAAGCACTTGCTCAATATATCATGAAAGATCCCAAGTCCATTTATGGTTGTAACGTATAATTACGTATACGTATTTAGTTGATTAGACACAAAGAGTTCAGTGTTTTTTATATTAATTTAGTATAGTCTTGGTTACAGCAGTCGGTTTGTTGGCAATGTAGTGAAGTGTCATAGTAATTGAGATGAATCCTGGAGCAGGGCAGAGAGCTGAGTACCATGGGGTACAGAGCTTGGATGTGGGGTGAGTGTGTAGTGCGTGGCACTCTGGATGTGAGCGGAATTGAAGAGCTCAGTGTGAGACGAGAGCATGGAAGCTAGATGCAGCCGGGGTCTGGCTGTCTGCTGTGTCGAGGCTGAAACATCCTGTGAGGTTAGGAACTGGACACATCGAATGTTACATTATTGTTGATGAATATGGAAGATGTGGGGTATCTCTCAAGCATCTGTACTGAACCACTCTTGGAGCTAGACTGATGAAGATTCACTATTGACTGGTTATATTACCAGTCCACACTTCACCTGACCATCCTCTAGAATGTTTTGGAAGAGATATTAATTGTAATTAGTGGACTAATTTAAGTGGAAAGTAGTGGAAAGTAGATTTAAAAGACCCATCTCATTATCTGCACGTAAGCTAATAGAGTATGAAGCAAGTATATTACTGGCATAATATACTTGTTACATGCTTATATAAGATGCAAAACCAAGACAAAAGTCTCAGGATCCTTGAAAGATGAGACTAACCAAGCTGTAACTGCTAATAAAAAGAAGCCAATATTCTGAATAATTTACTGGTACATAAGCATTCACACTAGAAAGATAAAACAACATCCCAAAATACAGGGTACAAGACCCAATCAAATCTGCTCATACTAAGAAAGCAACATGCAAAGGATCTGGGAGTAATGTTGTCTGATGACCTAGCATTTAGGGATCATATTCAAGCATCACCTAGAAAAATGATAGGATGGATTACGAGAACCTGCAAACCTAGGGATCCCATCACAATGCTAATACTGTACTATTCAAATCACTTGAGTACTGCTCGATGCTCACTTCCCCTTCAAGCAGGAGTGATAGCTGAAATAAGAGGGAATATGGAGAACACTCACGGCACACACGATTAACCACTGTGCTTCTCGCCTTCCAAATACAACACTAACTGTGCAGGAAACTGTAACTGTGTGCAGGAAATAAATTCTCTTTTTTTTTTTTTTTTTTTTTTTTTGAAAGTGTCAAAAACCCTTCCTTGAATATGGATATGTTAACAAAAACTCAAAATTGTACTAACTTTGGCCGCAGTGGGGTCTGTAAGTTCACGCATGACGTCATCATTTCCTGGTTGCCCGTGACGTATGCTCCTGGGGCCAGTAGGGCACCCGGCTCAAGATGCAAGAGTTGCCATGAATATATTTTTGTTCCTTTTTTGTACACAGTTCCAAATACATTTTTTCTGTGGGGAGCTCCTACGGCTCCCTGGAGTTTATCGGACTAAGGTATGTTATATTAGACCGAGACATTAGCTATTGAGTTCAGACCTACCAGGGACCATGAGCCAGAACCTGGCCCCTTCAGAGAGGTTGCAGGGAGCAA